TAATTATTTACAAGGATCATCGCACCTACACTGGTCCGATTAAAGGGTATCCTGATTGCACTTTGTTCTAGTATAAAAATGCGGTCCGTTAAAATTGCTGGAATAGGTACTTACCCGTTGGGAGAATCGAATGATCTGTTATTTTCTCCCTGATGCATTGGCTGGCTCTAATATAGTTCATAGCTTTGACAAGATAATCGGTTGGCGAACGCTCTTTGTGTTTTCCTATAAATCATCTACAGAAATACTAAGTTTACATAAAACATTAAACTATGTTACGGGTTTATTGCATATAAACAATCAATTTCATAAATCATTTGCAGCAAAAGGCTAGATTTTTTAAATAAACTAATGTACTTATATAAAACTGAAATAAGATACCTCAAACCTTATTTAATAATGATAAAATCAAATAAAAACATTCTAAGTAAAGAATGGGCTATGTTCACATGTGAGATATGCCGTTTTATGAATTATATTGTAATAGTTAGTCGCTATAAAAGTTATTCTAAATAATCAGTTCGTTAAAAAAGCCAAAGTTTTTAAATTAAGCCCAATTGAAATTTAAAATTTGAAATGTATACGTCATCGGGAATAGACCAATCAGCTTGAGTCGAAGTTTTTTTTGTTGTACAAAACCAAGCCAACGAACAAACCGACACATAGAATGTCGAAGTGAACGCACATCTTAGTGACACTGAAAATTGACAGCACCTAGACCAGTGGTCGCCAACCTATCGATCGCGAGCTACCGGAGGCAATTCTGGTAGCTCTCACAAGGATTTTAATTTAAAAAATACAAACTGCAAAAATCAGAGAAGCTTCCGAAAATTCCACAAAAAAATCTAATTGTCATAATATTAAACATAAACAGCGGCAACGCCATCAAGCTAGAATCGGCTAGAACCGACCAGCCGGAACAGCGCGTTAGTGTTCGAGAACTATCAGGATTGCTTTGAACGGGATAAATACGCACGGCGCGGCGACATTGCGCTTAGTTTAAAACTGAACGCGTAACCAACGTCCAGCGGTTGGGTTAGTAGAGAACAACAAAAAATAATATTATGGCAAGCAGTTGTAAGAAGGTAAAGACATACCACTTTCATTCGGAATGGAAAGAACAATACTTTTTTACAGAAGTTAAAAATAAAAATGTGTGTTTGTTATGCAATATTTCGGTATCCGGTGCTAAAAAAGGAAATATTGAGAGACATCATAAAACTGTACAGGGTTTTTCATTATATTTTGACCACTACTTATTTTCATTATTCTTGTGAACACAAAAAAAAGTTTCAAGTAAAAGCTTTGTTGTTTTACCTCAAATTTTTCGGCCACAGTATAACCCATTACAAGCAATCAACTGACAACTTTTAATAAAAAAAACAACTGTTTTACTTAAAAACATCATTTTCATAGCCATCTATGTGTTACGCTTTCATAGTCCAATAAGTCACTAAATAATTAAAATATTATATATTTGTAATAAGGAAATAAAGATCTACTTAAAATTACAAAAATATACAGGGTATCCCATAAAAAAAATTGAAATAATATATAAAATTCTGCAAGTTATTATATTTTTACTCGGTACAGATAAAATAATAAAGCTTTTACTTGAAACTTTTTTTGTGTTCGCAATAATAATGAAAATAAGTAGTGGTCAAAATATAATGAAAAACCCTGTACATTCTAATTTTGAAAAATCATTCCCACTACATTCTGCCTCCAGAAAGGAGAAACTGAAACAGTTATAAAAAAGCAGTTAATTGGACAACAATCAACATTTTTAAGAACAGTCGACAAAAATAAGGCTGCAACTGAAGCATCGTGTCCCAGATAATTGCACAAAAAAAGAAACCTTATGAAGACGGGGAAATGATAAAACAGGCGTTTTTAGAAGCTGCTGATTCGTTATTTGCCAACTTTAGAAATAAAGACGAGATAGTTTCAGCTATAAAATCTATGCAACTTTCTGCTAATACAGTGATGAGACGTGTAGAAGTAATGAGCAATGACATTTTTTTACAGTTAAGAACTGACTTAAATAATTGTGTTTATTTTTCACTTCAACTGGATGAATCAACAGATGTCGTTGACACTGCCCAGATGGCCGTGTTCGTCAGGATGGTTTTTAGTGATTTTACAATTAAAGAAGATCTTTTGAAGTTTATTCCACTGAAAGGACACACTACTGGACATGAGTTGTTTTCTCATTTAAAAAATATTATTTCTTCCGAGAAAATTCCAATATCGAAAATGGTAGGCTTGACAACCGATGGCGCTCTAGCTATGGTGGGTTGTGATAAGGGTCTGGTGGCGCTATGTCGTAAAGATGAAACTTTTCCGCAATTTCTCTGTTACCACTGCATTATCCATCAGCAAGTATTATGTGGAAATTTCCTGAAACTAAACAACGTTATAAAACTGGTGGTAAAAATTGTGAACAAGATTAGAGCTCAAGCGTTACAAAGAACATTATTCAAAACGTTGGCCAATGAAGTTGACTGTCAATACGGGGACCTACTCCTTCACTTTGAAGTCCGATGGTTAAGTAGAACACGGGTGCTGAAACGTTTTAATGATGTCCTATCTGGCATAGTTCAATTTTTCAAACAACGCGATGAACCGACTCCGGAACTAGAAAATTCAATCTGGCTTAGAGATTTTGGTTTTCTCGTGGACATTACAGAGAAATTAAACGAACTTAATTTGCAGCTTCAGGGGAGAGACAAAGAACTAGCGGAAATGATTTCTGATATAAAAGCATTTATCAAAAAGCTGGAGTTTTAGGAACAAAACCTAATTAATAGCGATGCCAAGCATTTTCCTATTCTTTCAGAAAAAATATCTCAAAATCCATTAGAATCCAACAGTTTGCAACTTGTGTTATGCAGAACTTTGGCGAAGACATCGCTGCAACAAAAATGGAAGTAATTGAGTTTTAAAATGGTTTAGCCTTAAAATCGTTAGTCTCAAGTACCAAATGTATCTGGCCTATTGTAAATAAAGACAAATATTCAGTTCTGTGCCGTGTTGCCGAAAGTGAAAGCATTATTCAGTTCAACTTATTTGTGTGAATCTTCTTTTTCCAATATGTAGTTTATTAAGAACAAATATCGCAATCGACTTACAGATGAACATTTGGATAATTGTATTCGAATGGCTGTATCAAATTATACTGCAAACATTAAAAAAATTATCGATGAGTCTGAGTGTCAGCCTTCTCATTGAACGTGCTTTTTTATTTTTTAATGTTTATGTTCATGATAGTGCGTTACTTTTTTGTTGTTATTATAGTATGAGAGCCCACTGCAAATTTCGACCGTCATCTGATAACGAAATGAAATATGCTCCAAAAGCATGTAACAACATTGTACTTTACCAAATGGCACCTGTGCCAATCCCTATCCTGAGCAAAGTGGTTAAAAAAAATTATTTTATATTCTAAAAATCAAATAAAACATGACAGCGACAATTATGTTTTCCCTGAAAATTACAATCCTAATTCATTGCGAATCTCGCTTTTAAACCTGAATTATTAATATTTTTATCTACCTTTTAAACCATGTTTATGTATGAAAGGAAGAAGGATGGTATTGTATAAACCATTTGCAGAGATAGTCAATAATATTTATAAACTCTTGTTAGACAATTATTTTAAACCATAATCATAGTAGTTTTTTTGTCGTTTCTATGGCAACCTGTAAAAATGAATCACAACAATAGGCATACAAATAAATTTTTAAATCAGCAAACATTGATTCATATTTTTAATGATATTTACCTACTAATCGTGGATAGATGTTTTTGTGCGATGTTAAGAGGAAGAAAATATTTCCCTTTAACGATATATATCAAGATATATTTGAATGTTATTTTCTGGAAAACTTTAAGCGCAAACGAAATTAGAGCTGTCATGCCTTATGTGATTTTTTTAATATAAAATAATTTTTTTAAGCTACTTTGCTCAGGATAGGGATTGGCACAGGTGTCATTTGGTAAAGTACAATGTTTTTCCATACTTTTGGGGTATATTTCATTTCGTTATCAGATGACGGTAAAAATTTGCAGTGGGCTCTTGGGCTATTATTAACTATTTTTAAATCTTACGTGACATGCCGTTATAGCTGGATAAAAGTTTGTGTTTATTTTTCAAACAACTTCGTTTGTTAGGTAGGAATGTAGCCATGAACAAGTACGTACTAGTAATATTAGTTATTTTGTTATTAGTTTATTATTAGTACCTATGTATTATGTATTACCAGTTAAATAGTAAAATAAATACATATAATGATAAATTAACTGTGGATTATTTCATTTACGTTGCGTTACGTGGCTTCCGTGTGGGTAGCTCGCTGTTTATTCCAAAATTAACAAAGTAGCTCAACACATTGAGAGGTTGGCGACCACTGACTTAGACCACCTAACCTAACATTAGTTGTTGATTTTTTCTCGATTTACTTCTTTTGTCTTCGATAATTGTTTTAATTTTATTATTAATATGAGTTTGTTAGCTGGATTTATAAAAGCTGGTTTAAGTGTTTTACCCATTGTAAACCAAGATATGACTACTGCATTTTCTTAACAGTAACAAATTGAAACAAGTACCATCGAGAACAGACGAAAATGTACCATAAAATAAGGTATTTTGAACATCGATTTAGAAAGACACCAAGTTTTAATTCAAGGGAGAGACGTCAATAACAAGCAAAAATATAGTAAAACGCCCCGTATACAAAAACGGAGAGTTATAGAAAATTGAGACAAGTACCATACTGTCTCATAGAGAGCACTCTAAATTTTTCTAAAAAAGAAACTATTCTATTTTTAAGTATTTTTTCAATAATCTTTGATATATATTTGAAATTAGAGATATTGGTCTGTAATTAATCATTTGGTCTTTTTCGCCTCCTTTATAAAAAATAAAAACAACCAAAAAAATATAAAATTTAATTTGTACTTTTTCAATTTTAAACAAAAATATATTTAAAAAAATTATTTTAGATTGGATACAGACCAGCGTTGAATCCGCAATAATTTTTATGAGTATTTCTAGCCATTTTTATGTACCCATTATCACCCCAGTTTGGTCCCCATGAATTTTTGATCAACCAATAGTCGTGTCCATTTTCCGTACCATATCCAACAACTAGTACACAATGATTTGATAGTTGAGCGCACTCATTGTGATACCAAACACCACTCTTATAAAACCTCCAATTTGCTGTAACTGAAAAACATGTAGACAGAGGTCCATTTTCGATGAGTCCAAGTTTCAAGTCATCATCTGAACCTGTTACAACACCAATGTCCGATAGAGTTACGTTCGACCGGGGTTGGGTAGTATTGTCGCATTCATTTTGTTGTTCTCTATAAGGGTAGTCGCTTTCAAGATGGATTCCAATATTTGCTACAAATTGGAAGACATACGCTGGATGCCCACCACCACAAGTGTAGTTGGATAGACAATCGACAACATGTTGTTCGCTAAGAGAGAGTAATTGACCAGTTTTTCGGTAGTGATAGTTTTCTATATTACCAATCTGTAATAAAATTAAATCAAATAGAAAATAGAAAAAAATTCAGCAAGCATACCACATTTTCCTGACAACCTACCTCTGGAGGTGAGTTCTACAAATTTAAATGTCATGATAGGATTAAAAATCTCACAAATGTCAATTTTTTTAATTAAGAAATCAAATTTGGAGTTTTGGGAACAAAACCCAATTAACAGCGATGCCAAGCATTTTCCTATTCTTTCAGAAAAAATATCTCAAAATCCATTAGAACCCTATGACAGCAAATATCATGCAGAAATAGTTTCTACCCTGAAGAATAACTTCAAAAATCGTTTTAAGGATTTCAACGAAATAGCTTTAGCACCGCAGTTTGTTATTTCTTCACCCTTTATGGAAATTGATGTCCAACAGTTTGCAACTTGTGTTATGCAGAACTTTGGCGAAGACATCGCTGCAACAGAAATGGAAGTAATTGAGTTTCGAAATGATTTAGCCTTAAAATCGTTAGTCTCAAGTACCAAATGTATCTGGCCTATTGTAAATAAAGACAAATAGTCAGTTCTATGCCGTGTTGCCTTGAAAGTGAAAGCATTATTCAGTTCAACCTATTTGTGTGAATCTTCTTTTTCCAATATGAAGTTTATTAAGAACAAATATCGCAATCGACTTACAGATGAACATTTGGATAATTGTATTCGAATGGCTGTATCAAATTATACTGCAAACATTAAAAAAATGATCGATGAGTCTGAGTGTCAGCCTTCTCATTGAACGGGCTTTTTATTTTTCAATGTTTATGTTCATGATTATTTCATTTACGTTGCGTTACGTGGCTTCCGTGTGGGTAGCTCGCTGTTTATTCCAAAATTAACAAAGTAGCTTAACACATTGAGAGGTTGGCGACCACTGGTGTAACGTGTCACTGGATAGGGAATGATTTGGAACAAAAGTCAGCAGCTATTGCTTGTAGAATATTTACAGAACATCATAATGTGACAGAATAGCAGTATAATATTAGATAATATTCACATGTCTTTTAGTTTAAGATGATCGGAAACTGCTGGCAACAGTTACAGATACATCAAATTTTGTAATTTAAAATATTTGGTATGAACAGTGTATAAATTGATAGGAAGATGAAAAGTTAGAAGATTAGAAAGAAGATACATCATTTTTACCAGCACCAATAAATCCTGACGAAACACAACACAAATTTCTATATGTGGTTTAAATAATTCATAAATTTGAGTACTTACCACGCTAAATATATAGCAAGCGCCACACAGGCCTTGATCTTTTGCTGGGGTGAAACCCCCTAAATCCCTCCAATCTAAAGACTCGATATTATCGGTAGCATTATTGGTAGATTCCGTTTCATTTAGAGTTCTATATGTATCGTATTTCACAGGCTTTGATCTCTCGTACAAACCATATAATTTAGTGAACTCATCTTCTGTAATATCTGCAAACTTATTAATTTCTTGCATGTATGTTTCTTCTCCAAGTTCAAATCGTTGATTATGTGCTCGTATGTTTTTTAAATTTTTTATAAAAATTTTATATCTTTTTTGATCTTCTTGGTTTGATTTATATATTTTGTTAAATTCAGCCTAAAATTTATAAAGATTTGTCACTTTTTTGTCTGATAACTAATTGTTTTTCTCACCTTAAAATGTTTCCATTCTTCGTTGCTAGTTTTAGCTTCAATTAGCAAAAATGCAATGATTGGTATTAAAATAACTATCAACTTCATAGTGTAAATGTTACTTTTAATTTAAGCTATGTTTAAATATTCTAATTACAAAAATGAACACATTTGATTAATCTTGTCTTTAGGGATTAATTAATTTGAAATATGATACGAAGATAATGAATAAATTTTTACTATTCGTCTATTATGTTACACGATCACTTTTTTAAACACACTGATTCCAATTTTGTAGAAATATAATCTGATTTTATGTAGAACATATTTTTTTTGCGATATGATGACCTCAATTTTTATTTCTAAAGTAAAGCATTGTTAGTTCAGTTAATAAAATATATATGAATTGTTATCAAATAATTTACATTTATATTTATAAAGGCTAAATATATAGGAGAAAAAAAAGGTTGCAAAAATGACTGAAGTACAGTTAAGACTGATGCACCAACCCTGATAAACATTGGCAACAGAAACTTAACACCTTCATCAATTCGTATGGAAAAACATTTAAACCATCAAAAGAAGGCAAATACATAACTATTGTCTAAGTTAAACCTAAACAGGTAAATGTTATATTGATTATTGCGACATCAACAATCATTAATATAAATTAAAAATAACAGGGGACCTAATTTTCTTCCTTTGATGTGGTTAATTTCTTCTGATCAGGACAGGATTCTTTTATGCGAACTCGACACATTATATACAGAATACCTGATACTTAGATAATCTACATGCTACCCCAATGCATGCTTTATAGTATAGATATAAAAACCACCTTTATATCAATACTTTTCAATTTTTTTATCGAATGGTTTTGATCAACAGAATCATTTTAAAGAAATACAATTAATTTTTAATAATTGTACATATGGCGGGTTGTACAATAGGCAATTAAAATGTAGACTTACTTTAAACTGTGAACCTTGTCGTATACTCATCGGTTATTGTTAAACATACTTTTAAAAATGACATTTGTTTTTGAATATAACTAGTTAAAAATAAAACTCTTGTTAGTTAAAATATGTTTAGAATATTTTTTGTACAACCTGCCCATAATGTATTTTGTAATAATTAAAAATTATAATATTCTTGTAAGGAAGTTGGAAAGCTTAGGGTTTGATCAGTCGCTGTTGAGATTATTTTCATCTTACCTAAATCATCGTTTTAATTATGTCTTTTACAACGGATTTGCATCTTCACCCCCTCACAGCAACATCTGGAGTTCCACGGAGCTCCAATCTGGGGCCACTATTATTTAGTATATTTATAAATGACTTAAAAATATTTACCTCAATCTCATCAATTCAAGACTGTTACTTTTTACAGACCCAACTTGGGAATTGTTGAAAATTGGTGTAATGAAAACAAGCTGTTTATGAATGTGTCTAAATGTAAAGTATGTTCCTATACTAGAAGTACTAACAAGGTGGAGTTTGAATATTTTTTTAATGGCCTACCTTTATCGGACTTGTGCACAAATTGAAGATTAAGATATATTATTCAACCAAAAAGTAATTTTTTCGGATTATATTGAAAATACCGTTGCTTAGGGTTTTTAATTCGTAATACTCGTTCTTTTACAAACTCTTAAAGCTTGGAGATCCTTTACTTTTCTTTAGTTCGTTCCAGGCTAGAATATGCATCTCTTATCTGGAAACTTATCTACAATATTCATAAAAGATCATTGGAAAATGTTTAGCGGCGATTTCTCAAGTACCTTTCTTTTAAAATAGATGAGCTATATCCCATTCGAGGTATTGAAGAATCTCTGCTTCTTTCGAAAATAGAAGGGTAGTTTTCAGTGTTACATTTTTTTTATAAAATATTACATAACACTATTGATGTTTTATGGATAAAACAAAAAGTTACTAGATTTTAACACTGGTGCGTTTGATTTGATCATTGGAGATCTTCGAGCATTGCATACGTTTTTGAATTGACACTCCAAGAGATCCCAAAAGTGTTTTTTTTTGGGTTTACGTTGGCATCGGAATGTTACCTAAAAAGAATTTGTACATAAAACTTTTTAAAGTATTTGTAACTTTTCCAATGTGAACATCCCATCTCATATGACAGTCTAAATAAATGCCCAGATATTTTACAGATTTGGAAGATTGTATTCGGATTTCAGTACCATGATTATTGATGCTCAAGAGATTGTATGTAGGTAGAGTATTTTCGTAACATGCAAATGGCAAAAAGTGTGTTTTCGAAAAGTTGATGGTAAGTAATTTCTGATTGAAGCAGTCAATTAATTTATTTATATCAAGTTCTACCGAATGTTTTAGATCTTTCCAACTAGACGATTCATAGTAGATCACAGTATCATCTGCGAAACTAATTATTGTTCCTGATGATGGTAAGTGTAAGATATCATTTAGATAAATTGTAAAGAGTACTGGACCCAATACAGTTCCCTGTGGTACTCCGTACTCAATTATTATTTTATTACTGAGAGTATTATTAATTTCAACATGTTGTTCCCTACTGCTTAGATAGGTTTTTAACAAATTATAGGATACACCCCTAAAGCCGTAATCAAACAAAGTTTCTAGCAACTGCTTGTGATCCACAGTATCAAAGGCTTTCGCAAGATCTAAAAATACTCCCATACTTGCCTTTCCTTTTTCTAGGCCTAAGTGGATTTTCGACGTTAGAACTTTTATAGCATCTGTGGTAACTTTTATAGCATCTGTGGTATACTCTTATACTTAACCAGAACTAGCTTAGACTCGAACGCATATGTCTAATTCGGCCAAAACACAGTCTTGGTACAAAAATATTCATTTTACCGCTGGTTTCATTACAAAAAACTGGAGTAAAGGGTAAAATTATCTCTTGTCCAGTACACTCGTATACACTTGAGTATTAGCCTATATTATTTTTGATTGAAGACGTATACATTTAAAAATGTTTACTTAAAAATAAACATTTAATTTTGATATTTTATTTAACTCAATCAAAACTTTTTCTCCCCCTTCACCTTAAAATTACCTCAACTCACACATGGCTACCCCCCTTGTCAATATTGTTTTCCATAATATATGTGTTTTTTTTTTCTAAACTATTTTGTTCTATATGTTCTTTGTAGTAGTTGATTTTTGTATATTCAGTTGACTGCACTAACATTGTAAAAATAAGATAAAATAAGGCTTATACAATAAAATAGTTTTTTTTTTAATTAGGACGAGGATTGTATGCAGTGATTATAATAAATAATAAATACTGATAAAAATATAATTCCTAAGATAATAATGAAAATATGTTTTTAATATAAAAATGATGATTTTATTAAAGTTATTTTGATAAAAAATAACAATTGAATATTTAACTATATTGGGTGATTATTTTTTATCGATGTTACACTAATTTTCAACATTCTTTTGATTTTACAATGTCTTGTTCTCAGAAATTTAGGAAATATTATTTTTTTAAATACTTTGATTCGGAATTTTAATTGAATATGAAATATTTGAGTTCGGATGATTTTTGTTTTAAATTAATAGAAAAAGCATAAATATTGAAACAAGCAAAACACCATTAACTAAGAGACACTTTTGCTATATTTACTAATTTGGTTTTTAGTAATGTTCATTTTCTTTTCGTCATTTTCACTCATATGTTCAAACAAGAAGGAAATAAATAATATTTTATTAAAAAATATACATAGCTTCGTTTGTTAAGCCACAATAATTTTCTTCCTTATTCCTGGCAATTTTAATATATCCATCTTCTCCCCATAGCGGTCCCCAAGAATTTTTAATTAACCAATAGTCTTCTCCATTTTCTGTACCATATCCCACTAAGAGAACAGAATGGTTAGCGAGAGTGGAACAATTTTTTTCATACCAAACTCCTCTTTTATATAATCTCCAATTACCAGAAACGAATAAACTAACTCCTATTGGTCCATATTTCGCCAACGAACTTTTAAGATCATTCTCAGTTTCATTTACAAAATCAAATCCTTTGAAATTGATTTTAATCTTGGGTACTTTCTTTTTACATCTAGTATGTTTTTTTCTATAAGGATAATCGGTCTCTTTACTTATACCATTATTTTTAACGTGAAGAATTGCGTCCCAAGTATATCCCCCGTAACATGTTTCATCAGAAAAACAGTCAACAACGTTCTGTTCACTTAGTGATATTAGTTGGCCAGTTTTTATGAAGTTGTAACCTTCCAACATTCCAATCTAAAAAATGGTGAACAAGAATTACTCAATCCTGAAACAAGTGACTTCGATTTGAAATCGATAAAAAAATATAGTTTGTTGCCAATGAGACATTTCCCAGACATTTATTTGTAATAAAAAAATATTTTAATTAAAATAATATTGTTTCATATACAGGTACACAAATATTGCTTGTTTGAAATTTTTAATCTCAATATTGAGGTGAATTTAAATTAAATTACAAAAACAATAGTAGAGAAAACTTATATTTGGTGCATTTTTTTATAGCAAAGCGCTTTCTTTTTTAGGCCATATTCATTGTTTATCTACAAAGACTTCAGTGTCATTACAAACATTTTGATAAAACAAAGAAAACGTGACGTGTTGACACTAATATGACACATGACACTGTTGACAAGGGCACGACATGTGTGAATTTGTTGGATGTCAAGGTTAAGGTTTAAATGGACCCGTATTTTTTTAGTTACGCCAACGCGAGATGGCATTACAAGCAATACGCAAGACTCCATCGACTACTCTCAAACGGTTGATAAGTAAGTTAAAAAATGTTGGAAGAGACTGTTTGCAACAGAAGTAGAAACTTCAAACCTTAAAAAAGATTATGGAATACATTGTCATACACCTGACCTTCGCAAAGAAGAAATCAAAACACTAATAGATCAAAAAGTAGGACTATTAACCGTCTCCATTAGTGAAGCTGACGGAATTGAACAATCTACAAGAGATCATAGTAATAACCCAAAATGGTTCCAGGAGAAACAATGTCTTCTCACAGCTTCTACTTTTGGAGACTATACTTCGGAAAATTGGTTGAGACAATTATGTACATAAATATCAGCGAAGATGTAGCAAGAGAAGCATATACATCTTTAACCAAAAATATTGTGACTTCTTGTGGATTATTCATCTGCACTGAAAAAGGATACGGGTTTTTAGGAACATCGCCAAACGGTCTGGTTGGTGATAACAAAATGTCCCTACTCCGCCCAGGAATATACACCATTAGAAGCAGCAAGTTCTATTAAAAATTTCTGTTGTTACTTGGCTGAAGATAGATGTAATATGTATTCAAAAAAGAATCACAAATATTTTTATCAAGTGCAAAAGAAATTATTGTGATATTGTGATTTGGACACCTAAATAACTATACATACAATTGAATAAGATAAAAAGTTCACAAAGGCAATGATTAACAAGATTTTGATTAAAATTTGGGAAGATACTAGCCAATATCTCCTATGAATTTTTTAAAAATTCTTGAATTTGTAGTTAATTTTTTCGGAGGTCCACTTAAACCTTAAAGGAGAGTTATAATGTCGGTTTAGGTGAGCACACTCCAGGTGATAAATTTAGATTATTTTTTTTTGTTCATTTAAAGTAATCATATTTAAAAAGTATGTAGAAAAATTGAATCCACCACAAAATTAAGAATTACTTTTATATTGATTAAAATCTGTAAACTATAGTCTATTTTTATGTATGAGAGAGTAATAAAACAGCATTTCTAATGCAAAACTTAGTACGGTCATTTTAAATATTTTTACAGAATAATCTAAATATTTCCTAAAATTGTAATAAATGTACCTGAGCTATTACAAGTTTTGGGTCTTTTATTGGTCCTTTATAAACATAAGCTGTACAGAACAACAGAAAAAGGTTTGGACAGGCCAAAAGCCCTGTGTATTAAAGATTAAATAGCCGTATCTTAAGTACCAATTTGCCAATTTTGTTTTATTTTAATTCCAAGAATTTCTTACAGTAATAGAATTATAAGTAGATAAATACCTTTCCAACAAATTTCACCGAAAATGCGATTATAGGTTTTCCATTTAGTAAGGAGGTCCAAGTTGTGTATTCTTGACAGTTTACTAAATGTCGTTTAGTTGCAACTTGCAAGGTGCAGTGTGAATTCTAGTGTGATCATGGAAAATTTGAAAGGGCCGCGTAAACGACAAAAAATCGGACCTTTAACAGTTAATAAAAAAACATTAATATTTAATTGTTTTAAATCATTTACAGACAAACATTTATGTAAAAGTGTTGATGACATAGTGAAATTAGTTAGTAGTACGCTTGGTGTTGGGAAATCTACGATTTACAGAGTTGTTAAAAAAGAGAAATGTGGCGAGTTTCAAACAGCACGTAAAGCTCCAGGAAAACCAAAATTTCAATTAGAAAATCTTTTGAAAGAAAGACTTCGAAGGAAAGTGCATGCGTTCTTCTTTAGAAAAGAATTTCCGACAGTAGATAAAGTTCTTGCCACGGTTCGAGATGATAAGGATTACCCTGAAATGAGTCGAAGCACACTATGGAAACTTTTAAAAGAAATAGATTTTCTATGGAAAAAGCATTCCAGAAAGTCTATTTTAATAGAAAGAAGCGATATTGTAGTATGGAGAAGAAATTACCTAAGGACTATAAAAGAAATGAGAAACCAAAGAAGAAATATATTTTATTTAGATGAAACATGGATCAACGAGGGACATAAACCAAATAAATTTTGGCAAGATGAAACTGTTACAAGTCGAAGACAGGCTTTTTTAAATAATTTATCTACTGGTTTAAATCCACCATCAGGAAAGGGGCGCAGACTAATAATAGTACACATCGGTAGTTCAAACGGTTTTGTTAAAGGTGGTTTATTGACTTTTGAATCTACTCGTACCGGTGACTACCATGAGGACATGAATGCTGATGTCTTTAAAGAGTGGTTCAAACAAATTATAGATCTTCTTCCTCAGAACTGTATAATAGTAATGGATAATGCAAGTTATCACTCGAGACTTATAGAAAAAATGCCCACAACCAAGTGGTTAAAAAAAGATTTACAGAATTGGTTAAATTCAAAGAATATTAAGTTCCATCCCGGTTCTGTGAGAAAAGAACTGTATCATTTGTGTTCCCTTCATAAAGAGAAATTCAAAAAATATGAAATTGATGAAATTGCAAAAAATCGTGGGATGACAGTGGTTAGATCACCACCATATCATTGCGATGTAAACTCGATTGAACTGATATGGGCACAGATAAAGGGAGAAGTTTCAAGAAAAAATAATTCTTTTAAAATGAGTGATGTTAAACAGTTGTTTTTGGAGGCTGTAAATAATGTAAAGCCTGAAAACTGGGAAAAGGCAGTAAATCATACGATTAAAGAAGAAGAGAAAATGTGGAAGTTGGACAATATTACTGATGAAATGATCGAGCCACTCATTGTAAATATTGGTTGCGACAGTTCATCTTCTGATTTCGATTCTGATTTGGATTTGTAGGTAAGAAGTAGTTTTTATATTAAAATTATTATTTATGAACGTAACGTTGTTTAAAAGTCAAAGTTTAAACCCTTATACCTACATAACCCGTTTGACACAATGTTCTTAACATACCTTGTGGAAAAATAAAATATTATAGAAAAAATTGCACTTTTTTACCTTCAGCTGTTTAGAAGTTATAAGCAGGTTAATTAGGTGAAAATATAAGTGTATACTCGAGGAATAACTTCAAAAAATATTTTAACTGTCTACTAAAAGCCTATGGATTAGGAACGCTTTATTTTAATACTCTCTCATACATAAAAATAGACTATAAATGTTTCCATATCAATATTTAAATATTTTTATCGAATGGTATAGCTGGGAAGTGTTTCATCGGTCATAATTTATTTTATAATTTAAATTTATTATAAACCAGTTAAATTAAATTAATTTCTTACTGCACTAAATATCCAACAGGCTCCACAAACTCCTTGTTCTTTAACATGAGTTACAGCACCTTTTTCTCTCCAATCTAAATAGTCTGTTGATACGTTCTCTCCTCTTCTTTCAGCTTGCTCTCTACTTCTTGGTTCCATATCAAAATTTATCGAATCTGGTGATCTACTATTCAAACCATAAGTGCTCGTCATATTTAAATTATTTTGTAAACCTAAACCATACTTTTTATCAAATTGTTTCTTTGTTAAATCTGCAAACACTGTTATTCCTTTTTCGAACGTTTCCAATCTTTTTTTAAAACGTCTGTTATGTCTAGTTATTTCTATTAAATTCTTCTTGAATACGCTAAATCTTCTTGCATCTTCTATTTGCGATTTGTACTTTTTGTTATAATTTAACTGAAAAAAAAATTATTGACCGAATAATATTTTTTCTACACAAAAAAGATAATAAAAAACGTATAGGACGAGTGTCAAGATTTCAAGCGAAAAAACGAAACAAAAAACATCCTCTTAAAATATTACAGTTTAATGTTGTCTATAAAGAGATTGTAAGATTCTATTGAGTAATATTTATTATTTATTATTATTATTATCGGTATCAACTGCTTAGGTTATTAGCCTAATTATTATTAAATTAATAATTGTTAGTATTATGACGCATGACAATTAAGGATAAGTTGAAAAAGGGTCCCCCTTCAACTTGTTTCTACCATTTATGTTAAATATCCTTTAGTTTATTGAATATGTTTCGTTTTCGATGGCAGCAAATGGCTAGAACAAAATTATAACTCACCTTAAATTGTGACCATTCATTTTCTAACGAACAAAACACGTCAATTATAACTAAACATACAATAACTGCCACTAATACTGATTTCATTTTAAATATTATAAAATTTTTAATATGGATCGAACTGCAGTCGATAAGTGAATAAAATATTTTCGACTAAATCGTATTACAACCAAATATCTACCCTTCAGTCTAATATCAATAAATCGAAAAAGGTCAATGATTAATTCTGTTTACATGACTCGAAAGAATTGTACTGACTACGGAGTACAGAGTGGCTCAATTTCTTGATAAAATTTTAAAAAATACTGATAAAAATTTGTTGTGTAGCAATATCAAATATAATCAAGTCAATGAAGTAAAAAAGTTGTCAAATCTTCTGAAAATTCATTGTTATACTTATGGTACAATTTTTATTTTTAGGCAAGGGGAAAATCACTGATCTATATTTTGTACCCCAGATCCTTTTGATAGAAATAAATCCTTTTAAATCCTTATAAATAGAATATGCATTTTAAATTGTGGTGGAGAATCAGGTTGGGTAGAAGGAGCTCTCTTGCTCTCTGCAACTACCACCAGGACATAGAAAATACTCTTTTTGAAAAATAATTTGAGAATACATTACTACCAAAACTAATTGAAAATAGCGTAATAGTTTTAGATAATGCGTACCATTTTTGGTTGGTACGAAAAAAACCAAATACCAATTCTACGAGATCAGTAATTCAGGACTTTCTGATGGAGAATGATATATTTTTTTTTTTTGAAGAAAACTACACAAAAAAACAGTTAATACAATACACCATTACTTTGTGTGACTAAAAAGTTATACCGGGTGATAATGACATTAGGTCTACGTTAATATCTGTTTTATTTATAAAGAAATTTGGATTAAATTTGGATCAAACATAATATATTTCAAATTGACACATGTATGTTTCATATTTTTTGGAATTTAAGTGTCAAATAACAAATAGCAATGTTGCCAGTCTTTTATTTTTCACAAATATTTTGTTCCACTACGTATACCATATTGTACAGTAGCCTGCATCTAATACAACATAAAATGCTGGTTAACACAAGTACATATTTTATTTGGCAATAATTATACTTTTTGAAATGTGTTTATTCAAATTGTAATAAATTAAATGCGTAGGTACTATTTTTGGAATATATACTGGCATAGTGAGGTTCAGAATTATCGGACAGTGTTAGAGTAAAACAAATTTAAGTTTGGTAAACCCACGTGTCGATCCGATGGTTGCGCCGTAGATTTGTTGACTATCGTTACGAATATGATAAACTGGAATTTGATGCCATTAGAAATAAAATTAATTATTATTAAATTGATAATAAAAATTTTATCAGTAAAATTCCCAAAAAAAAAAGATATATTTACAAATATTCTCAGTAATAGTAATGATTTGATAGAAATTCTGTTTTAATAATTATCATTATATTGATATACAGAGTGATGCACTAAAAACGAAACATTTTGAAGGACAAATATAAAAATATCGATTTTTATTCTAAAGAGAGACACATTTCTATCATATCCTTACTGTAATACGTCATTCCTCTCCCCTCCTTCACTCTAACCAATAAAATTCAAGTACCAAGTATGATAAATCGTTGAAAATGAACTGTAATTTAGCAATATGACTATTCATTGCGTTACTCTTGAATTTAATAATCCCCTATTGACAGCTCACATTGACAAGGTCCTAGAGTTTGATGCAGACTTGTCGTGTTGCTGCGTCACAGGTGGTTCAACATGTTTCATAGTAGACCTACGATTGTGAGACAGGCTAGCAAACGATATCACATGTTGATCTTCAAGAACATCTAGATGGGGAAGTCTTTCTCCAGCCTTTCTTTTTAAATCATCAAGAAATAAGAGAGCCTTAGCTAAAAGTTCGGTTCGTTTTGTTCTTTGTTTCTTTGGCATTACTACCGGGGGGGGTAGAGGTCCACCAATTAAGAGGGACTCAGCCTCACTGGGGGCGGTGATAGTTGGGACCTCTCGGTATTCAACCAAGGTTCCTTGGGGGATCGTATTCGGTGACGGCAGGGTCTAGACCTACGTCTACAGCGTCTAAAGCATTGCCAATTGAGGCACAGTGGGCACTTGAGAACTAACTATCTGAGGACTAGTTGACTAGCCGATAGTTTAATAGATATTACCCGACGAATAATTTGGAATTTAACTGTTCCACTGGTTTTCGGACGGTTTGCGTCAAATTAAAATGAAAAGCGAACAACTTTAATGCTTACTATTATTATTATACATTTATTTTTATGTTTTGCCAGACAGTTTTTTTAAAATTTTAACTAGAGTTATGCCAATACATTATCAATTCAATTTTCTTCATTATCCTAATCATCACCCTGTCCATTTCTTTCATCTTGCTTGACCATATTTTCTATAGATCCAATGCTGGGGATATGATAGGTGATTACTTTTTTTATATAAATACAAAAATAGAGAAATCATGTAATAGAGTATTTTAACACATTTATTACAGATATGAAGATAAATAGTTGAGCTATTTAAAAAAATAATTTATTTACTTTACCTAGTAAGAAAAAAGAATTTATTTACTTAACAAATATAGCAAATCTAGTAATACTACAATAATTTCGATGCTTATTTCGTGCTATCTTCATGTAACCTTTTTCCCCCCAATCTTCGCTATGGGAATTCTTGATCAGCCAATAGTCGTGCCCGTTTTCCGAGCCATAACCAACCAATAATACTGCGTGATTTGGTATATCAGAACATTCTCGTTCATACCATACTCCGCTTTTATACAGTTTCCATTTTTCTCCAGCATATATGCACAGAACAATGGGACCGTATTCTACTAAAGCTTTTTTCAAAGCTTCTTCGTTATTCTCTACATAATCGGCACCTATAAAGCTTATTGGAACGTTTTTAGATTTTTGATAATTACATCGTTTTTGTTTGACGTTAGAAACGTAGTCCTCTTCTGCATTTATCCCTTTTCCCATATAGATATATTTAAAGACTTCTCCTGGCCATCCTCCCAGACAAGTATGGTTTGAGATGCAGTCCATCAAATTTTGTTCACTCAAGACAATAGATTTGTTCGTTTTTCTGAAGTAAAGTCCTTCCAGAGCGCCAACCTTAAAAAAATATTGAAAATATACCGTGTAATTTATTTAAACACAGTGCAATTGGTTTCAGCCAATGTGGCCATCTTAGGGTCTCATAATACCGTACATGAATGTTAGATAACGTTGAAACAAAGATAAAAATCTGATGTGTCCAACACATGACTTTCCTATCTAGTTAACCTATTGCAGCATCTCTAAAAATGTTTAGAGGATAAACTAAATATATACATTTTCCACATACATCTACCTCGAAACATTTTTCTATAGATATTCATTGAAAACGAAAATACTGAAAAATTTTAATTTAGCACTTTTCCTCCATTTTTCCATTACGGTCCATTTTAGAAAAGTCATTTAAAAACAAAAATTATAGAGATCGATATCGCAAACAACTTTTAGATTAACAATTTTCTTAAAAATCAGAATTTTGCACATTTTGTCAAATTTCTCGAATACGGACCATTTCAGGAAAATTTGACATAGAACAAAAATTATAGATAATAATATTGTAAGTAACTTTTATTTAAAGAATTTTCTTCCCCAAACGTAAATAACGAATATATTCCATAAAATATAAAAATGACCACCAATAAAGTACCCCCCCAAATGTTCCGACTCTGTCCAAAATCTAATCAGTTCACCTCAAGTCGAAATAAAACTTAAGTTTAAAATTTAATGTTTTTTCCTTTATCCGTTTTTGAGTTTTCTTCAAAATTCGAAATTTACACATTTTCTCAAATATCTCGAATACGGTCCATTTTAGAGAAATTATTGATGGGATAAAAATTATAGAGAATTATATTACAAACAACTTTTATTTGAACAATTTTTATAAAAAATTATTTTTTTTACATTTTGTCAAATTTCTCGAATACGGACCATTTTAGGAAAATTTTGCATAAAACAAAAATTATAGATAATTATATAAGAAGTAACTTTTATTTGAAGAATTTTCTTCTCCAAACGTAAATAACAGATATATTCTATAAAATATAAAAATGACCACCTATAAAGTACCCCCCCAGATGTTCCGACTCTGCCCAAAATCTAATCAGCTCATTGGACGCTGAAACAAAGCTTAAGTTTAAAATTTGGTGTTCTTCTGTGTATCGGTTCATGAGTTATGCGACCTACAGACACACACACACACACACACACACACACACACACACACACACACACACACACACACACACACACACACACACACACACACACACACACACACACACACACACACACACACACACACACACACACACACACACACACACACACACACACACACACACACACACACACACACACACACACACACACACACACACACACACACACACACACACACACACACACACACACACACACACACACACACACACACACACACACACACACACACACACACACACACACACACACACACACACACACACACACACACACACACACACACACACACACACACACACACACACACACACACACACACACACACACACACACACACACACACACACACACACACACACACACACACACACACACACACACACACACACACACACACACACACACACACACACACACACACACACACACACACACACACACACACACACACACACACACACACACACACACACACACACACACACACACACACACACACACACACACACACACACACACACACACACACACACACACACACACACACACACACACACACACACACACACACACACACACACACACACACACACACACACACACACACACACACACACACACACACACACACACACACACACACACACACACACACACACACACACACACACACACACACACACACACACACACACACACACACACACACACACACACACACACACACACACACACACACACACACACACACACACACACACACACACACACACACACACACACACACACACACACACACACACACACACACACACACACACACACACACACACACACACACACACACACACACACACACACACACACACACACACACACACACACACACACACACACACACACACACACACACACACACACACACACACACACACACACACACACACACACACACACACACACACACACACACACACACACACACACACACACACACACACACACACACACACACACACACACACACACACACACACACACACACACACACACACACACACACACACACACACACACACACACACACACACACACACACACACACACACACACACACACACACACACACACACACACACACACACACACACACACACACACACACACACACACACACACACAGACATCATCGCGAAAATAGTCAAAACGGATTCAGGGGACCTCAAAACGTAAAAATCCGTCGAAAACTCGAGGTCGAAAAAAATCATGATTCCTATACTTTCCTTATATCTGTATACAGATAGGAAAGTAAAAATTAAGTGCTCACTTAAATATTCATTGTAAATTAACAATATATAGCTTCTTGACAGAATGGCAATTCAACAAAACTGTGTAACTATAGATAATAATAATAGGACAACAAATGACAAAGTTAAAATTATTATTAGCAACAAATGGAGCATAATTAAATGGAAAAGGAGGGATTAGAACAAAGATAGTTCATTTTCTAGATTAGAGAGATAATGAATGAGTTAGAAGAGCCTTTTTCAATCTTGTTAAAGGGCGGAACACTAGCACCACCTACCGTGAACCGCTGTTCTCTAAAATACTTTATTTGCAATACTCAAATAGGTATATTTTACTCTCAATATCCCAATAAAAAATCTAATGCAGTGTTTTCGTAAATGAAACTGGAAAAATTTTTAAGATCTATTTTTGAAAAAATTGATTGTTTATTATCTTCTATTAATATTTTTAGACATACACTTTGCCTTGCTTAACTTTATATGTAAATCAATTGGTAACATTTTAATATTTATATTGGTTAATTTTGTTTTTTAAAGTAAAAATAGTTCATAATGTATGATTTTTTGTTTTTATCTATTATCAAAAAAATAATCCCTGACATTTCTTAATCAGACACTTACAGAGGCAAAAATCCAACAAGCTCCACATGTATCTTGATTTTTCACTTTAGTCACAGCACCCTTTTCTCTCCAATCGAAGTGATCCGAAGAATTTTCAGTTTTTAACTCATATTCAGGCTCATCTGTATATATTTTTGTGGATCTTTTATCAAATCTATATTTTCGAACAAATTCTTCATCTGTAAGGTCAGCAAATTTTGTAATGCCTTTTTTATATGTCACTTTTCCTTCTTCGTATAATTTATTGTGCGAATTAATTACATCTAGGTTTTCTTTAAAATGTTCAAAGTGTTCTCGTTCGTCTTTTTTAGTTTTGTACGATTTTCGGTACTCTATCTAAAATAAATAAAAATTAAAAGTCTGAAAAATAAGGGAAATATTTAAATAGGAGGGGAGGTACTTAGGCCTGGGAAAACATTACCTATTGTGGGAAAATCTTCTCAGTTCTAATCTAACAACAAAGTACTAATTGTTTTAATGATGTCATCTCAATACGGTACAATCTTAGTGAGTAGCTGGACCATAAACAACGTCGTTGATAAAGAACGTTGGATTAAGGGGGATTTAGTCCAATATTTAAATTTTTTATAGACTTGGAACGTATAACAGGTGCCAAAAAAACATTGGATTGATTCGAATAAAAAAAAACAAGATGTCGTATAGAATAAATGTTAAATTAAAAAAGTTAAGCATTGGCAACGTCAAAAAGATTCTAACTGATAACCTGCAAGACACGAAAAAATAACTCAATGCTCCTCTTATGTTGAGTTTGTTTTTCTTAATTTATTTTCTATTATAATAAAGAATTCATTGGTCAGCTTCCCTTCCCTACTTCAATGCTAGTCAAAAAATATGAAATAACCACTCAAACCCTTACAATTACTCCCTAACAATATACAAACACACATAATAATCTCCATGTAATCACCCCTTTACAGTTTGAATTGATTATTGTTAATTTAGAGGAAATAAAGAAAATAAAGTAAAACAAGGTAAAGAAATTGTATTTAATTGGAAGTGTTGTCGACTAGACTATTGAATGATTCTAGAAAATAAAATTCGTCAAATTATGATTTAAAAACAGACTCAACTGAACATTTGGTGACCCTGACATACCAATGACTAATCTAATGGGTAGACCAAAACGGGGTGGGGCTGATGTTAACAGAAGTTTGTTTACTGATTTCGTCTGGCCAGATAATTTTGGTATATCAGAAAGTAGGGCAACTCAGTCAATACCCGACCAACGACAAGTAAAGATCCATTCCAAAGCAGGTTTATTCATTCAGAGAAAAAGGCCAGAACTAGATAAAGAAAGACAAAAAATTGAAATAGAGATTAACACAAAACTATTTGATTTAGAACATGAGTTGCAAGAAGCAGAACCTAAAGCCTCGATTGATAAAAGTCAAAGGAGTTCAAGAGAACCCACATCAAAAGCTGAATTTCCTGACCCTGCTAAAGCCGACTCTACCTCTACAATTACAGAGTGGTCGAAAGAAAATGAAAAGGCAGAAGATAATACATACAATGTAGGCAATAGTAATGAACCACAAGAACAAGAAAATATGAAAATGCTTACAAGTGCATTAAGCTTAAATCCTACCACAAACACTGGCCTCGGTTGATAAAAGTCAAAGTAGTTCAAAAGAACCCACCTCAAAAGCTGAATTTCCTGACCCTGCTAAAGCCGACTCTACTTCTACAATTACAGAGTGGTTGAAAGAAAATGAAAAAGCAGAAGATAATACATACAATGTAGGCAATAGAAATGAACCACAAGAACAAGAAAATATGAAAATGCTTACAACTGCATTGAGCTTAAATTCTAACACAAACACTGTAAAATTTATTACACGACAAACCATTTATAAAGATTTTTCTTACTTTAATGGAAAACCAGAGGAATGGCCACTTTTTTTATTGCCAATTCAATAACATTATCTCACTAGGTAACTACAGTCAAGCAGAAATCATGAGAAAGTCACAAAAATGCCCAAAATGCGATTTGGTATGTGAAGTTTTGATATCACTGACGTTCCGCAGGTTGTTTTAGTTTGCATTGAAACTTTTACCACAGCTTATACAATACAGCTAAAACACTCTCTTGGCGGCAACGGTTTGCGTCAATTTCGTCGCGCATCGCTTAAGCTCCGCCTTCGAAGGGAAAAGACGGTTTTGGCGTTCAGAAGCGTACTTAGGCAAGGTGTTGAGTCGTGCGTATAATTTCGTTGATTGTATAATTTCGTGGAGCCTATAATTTCGTTGATTTTGTTTGAGTTAAAGGTATTGTTATTATTTTGGTGACTCTTTAGCTGTGAGTAGAATGAGTTTGTGCAGTCAAAAGCTGTTTTAATAAGGGTTATACCTGCAAGAAAACATTCTTTAGTTTTCCCAAGGACCCAAACCGATAAGTACTACATTATAAGAAATTTTCATTGTTAAAAATATAATTTATACAGGGTGTCTCATTAGTGCGTTATTGTTCATTATTTTGTTGTAGACACTCAAGAAAGTTTTAAATAAAAGTTATATGGACGTGAAAAATACCTACATATTTTAAAAATATCTTTGGATATACAGGGTGTCACGTTTTTGCCTGGAAAATTAAAATGTATGTTTTTTAAATGGAACACCTTGTATTTTATTTTATGATGAAATTATTAACACCCTAAATTATTGTAAAGACGAATTGCTACAGAAAAATTTTATCAGGTATGTGTGTGGTTACCTTTTAATAAAAGCCTTGCGGATCCACTCCTGCGATACCTGACTTAAATATAACAAAGATCACGTTGAATTAGACGATTTTTCTTTTTATTGCTTTTAAAAGGCATATGATAACGCCAATTCAGATACATTTGGAAATCTGCAACTGTCAAATGATGAATTTGTAGAACTAATATTCAATATTGAAAAGATATTTTAAAATAATTTTGAAGAATTGGCTACAAAAAATAACATTTGTACCACACTTTTAGAATTAATTAACCCAATACCCTTTAGTCATCCATGCTAACGTTTTCCAAAAGAATAACTTATTTTATTGTATGTTTAATCTCAATAACTAAAAAATATACTGACAATTAGTTTGACAGAATTGTCATTTATTTAAAATTTTAAAAATAATAGCAGTCGGTTGATCGAAATATGAACGGTGATTGGCGAATTTATTTTTTTTGCAGTGTTCTCACTACCTAGAATGGATATGAAATATATTCGTTCAATTGAAGGTAATAGCATACTTTTTCGCTTTGTAATCTGTGCATGGATATTAGCCAATCTACGCACATACTACAAAACGAAAAATTATGGTATTGCGTTCAACTACGAATATATTTCATATCCATTTTAGGTAGTGAGAACACTTTAACAAAATTAAATCTACAAATCACAGTTCATATTTTGGTCACCCAACTCCTATTATTTAAAAATTTTTAAATAAGTGATAATTCTGTTAAACTAATTGTCAATATATATTTTAGTTATTGATATTAAATATACATTAAAATTTTTGTGTAGACTCGATAAATAATAGCATTTTTGTTTTTATTATGTCCACATTTAAAAAAAAATAAATTTTAATCAAACTACATGATACTAATTTAATTACGAGTATTAAAACTAAAGTCCTGAAAGTTTCGGTGAAGATGAGGACAGAACATCTGCCTTCCATGCGAAAAGCCCGGGATCGAATCTAGGCCGAGGACTAATTAATTTTTCATGTTTATTTTATTTTATAAATTAGTCAACTTCGTAAATTATTTTAAAATTAGTTATTTTGTCTAAATAACCTAAAATAATTTTTTAAATTTGTAGATTTTCGTTAGTGGGTCATAGAAAAAATATACTGACCATATCGAGTGGATTGTTCATATCTCAATCAGACGATTGAGTACTCCGCCTACGATGTCGTGCTCAAATTTCGTCTTTGTGTGATATGGCTATCATATCCACCCTTGTTGAACAAACTACAATTTATTTGTTTTCTTGGTTTAAGTTTTACATCAGAAATAAGAACAAAATTAATTTTCTTTTCAAGTTTTCTTGTAAAAATCGATATTACTTTCTCCAAGTACAAATTTAGTACCTACCTAAAATAAGTACTAATTATGTAATATCGTGTAATATTGTAATTCAAATTTCACATTACTATAAAGTTTCAAAATTCCCTACTTCGGTATGGTCAGATAAAAATTGAATATATTATATTAATAAAAACTGTTAAAGTATTACTTCTACAAATCTGTATTTCAATTAATAAGAATACATCTAAATATAACCAATATTGTTAAAATAAAAGCACAAATTCTTTATAATTCCAAAATACCATAGAGTTCCCAGACTTCAGTCGAAGCATTCGTTTATCTAGGTATAAACCCTTTGCGCGAAGAGTAACACTTGCCAGAGACACGGGGTACCACTTGATTTGCATCCACGAGCGTGACACATTTCTTTAACAATTGAAGCCCTTGGTGTAAAAAGGATCCAAGTCACAATTTGTCGTGAAGTGACTGTTTTAGCTCAAAACATTTGTTAACGAGGATTTTACTAGCTACATACAAATTATTTTACCTCTAATCCGAAAGATGTGCTATTTTTCGTAATATTTATATTTAAATAATTTTTTTAATTATATTTGACAGATTTAAAACAAATTAAAAATTTAATTTCCCAAAACTTACTTAACATGGCATGTAACCAACCTTATTACGTCAAGGTTTTCAATTTTTTCAATAATAAAAAAATTGCTTAATCCGGGCCCGACTTTTCCCTTTAATCTAACAGAGATAGCACCATTCCGTCTTGCTTGGTTCTCGACCGACAGATCAAAGACGCCGACACGGAGTTGTGGAGCTGTATTGTATAAGCTGTGCTTTTACTCTTAAACCCGGATGGGGTTAATAATTTATTAGATATATTATACTCTTTGCTTACTTTGAATTTTTCCCATTCATGTTCTGCAGTTCCTCTAATCTCATGTAAAAAACAGATAAAAATTAGGCAATACAAACACCGCATTTCACTACTAGTATGGAATATACAAAAAATATTTGACACTATAGTATTACAACCACCAACTTACTAAATCTATTTTAAATCATCTCTTTTATAAACAAAAGTTATCTAAAGTTATTTTTAATGAGGGTCAGACATAGGTTATAATTTTATAAATACAATTTAAATATATTTTTATTTTAAACTAGTGTTTGTTCAGTATTGTTTTGATGATTTTTAATTATGTTAACCTATAAATTATTACCAAATTATTGAAAAATGAAAATAGGCGGATAATTACGAATGAAAGGCTATTTTCCACAACTTATCTGACAAATTTTAAACACAATCATAAAAAAATGTAAACACGATAAAAAATAAAATTTCTTTCTACAAAAGCTATTCGCTAATTCGAATAGCCTCCATTGCAAAAATACTGTAAGATAGACACACAATAAAACACCTTAGTCAAATTACAAAATATCTTCGCTACAGCTTCTTTTAAATTAATAAGTTTGATGAGAAAATGTAATAAAACACAGGGGAGCGTCCTAATCCTGATAATTGTTTTAGGCAACCAATAACGCACGTGTGTAATGTTCGTTGTATATTCCTTAATGTGTATGCGTTGTAATGTCGCTAACATCGCAAATTTTCTTTATTATAGTTATCTGTTCGAACCAATGAGGTTGAATAATCAAAGTATGTGGGCATGGGCGTCGTTACCTAATTCTATAGGGAGGGGCAAAATTTTGAAAAAATTTAGAATGTTTATTTGTTGAAAAACAAAGAAACTGAAAAATAAAAGAGCAATACAAATTAACAAAAGTTTCTAGTAAATAAAATAACTTAAGAAAAAAGACAAAAACTAAAATTAAAAAAAGAAAATAAATACACATATTTTTAAAATACAAACAAATGGTGTGATATAAAAGAAAAATATGAATAAGAAGACAGAGCCATACATAATAATAATAAAAAAAAATAAAATACTTATAGAAACACAAAAACATAAAAAAATCTCTCAAACACGTCGACGAACACTAGAAAAACGCAAATTTTTAATTTCTTCTTCCTCTAACAAAAATATTCGATAACAGAAAACATGATTTCATTTTAGTTTTTTTGCGATTATTTTTCGATGTACGCTCATCATGCAAAGCCCAGTTTTATTCATTTTTCGCTCTGTGCGTGACAGCAGCGCCAACAAATTTATGAACTAACGGACGATATTTGTGTATACTGACAGTACAATTTTTTAAAGAATTCGTAATTAAAAAATATATATATGAAAGAAATTAATTATTTTTATATATTTTTATTACTTTAGCTAAAAAAAAAGTAGTATAATCAATAAAAATCAATAATAAAACAGACAGTCAACAATATTTAGAACAAAATGTATGATATATTGCCTAAGCTTAATAAGTTGTCATTGAAGAATAGTTAAATAATGTGAATATAAAAACATTACCATTATATAATAATAATAACGTATTAACAAAAAAATTGGTATATTTGCGATTGTAATTTATATTTTCTTAATTTTTAGTTCGGAAGAACCCATAGAAATTAATGATTAAAATTGGTTTCCTATCAATAAGTCACAAGATAGCATACAATAATCAAAGGCTGAAATCTAATCGTTGCTGAATATTTAAGAGTTAAGGGATGTTGAACAACATTGTAAAATTATAATGTATTGTTTATTTAAAACCTTTCAATTTTCTGATGTCTACTATTCCCAGTATTACTGTTATTATTACAAGAAAAAAAGTTTTTTCTTCTTATTGTAGAGCTATCCATTTATTTCTTTGATTTAATTTCCATTTTGCTACTGAAAATTTATATAATTTGCACTGTTTTTTCTGTTAGTATTTTTACAATTTACACAGCAACTGCAGTCGCTTTTTGTTTTGTTTTTACCTACTTTAAAAAAGAAAGTAAAATGGATAGGTACGTGTAAGGTATGGATATGAAATAAATATATTCAACCTATAATATTGGCCAACTGTATTAGCTTGAATATTATTTCTATTATTGTCCGTAACTCGTGGCATTTAGATTTCTACAATTGTCATGTTTACCTTTTTCTTCTATTTCCTTAAACAATTCAATAAATTAAAGGCTACCTAACATATTATGCCTAGCGTTTATTTTTATGCGTGTACGGCGATAATCGACAATATGAGCCAGTGCCAGTTATGTAATTATATTAGTTACGTAATTTTATCGTATACAGCGTTGTCAAACTGTGGCACATAGTACCTACCTAACGAAATATTAGTAATGCATATATTAAGGTTGTATGTTACGATACTAAATTAAGTTCTAAATCTTTTAATTAATTTGTCTCTTTTACACAGAATATTTCATTTCTGTGCTAATTTCACGTAACACTACGTCAATGCGCGTGAGTCTATACTTAATTTAGTACAAAAAATTGGTATCGTTGCGAAAGGAAAAAAATATTTTTAGTTCTAAATTTAGTACTAAATTAATAACTTAATTTAGGGCTAAATTTTAGTACCTAATTTAGTATCGTGACACAGCCATTACGCGTTGTAAAGTCGTAAAAGCCAGGGGGGTGCAACTGCCCCCCCTTGCCCCCCCTAAACGACGCCCATGTATGTGGGTTGAATACTATGGAGATGACATTCAAAAAAAAAAAACGACACCCCTTCCCACTCTCTTAGTGGTCATGTCAAAGTTGTCAGAGCTGTCAGAACTTTGTTCAAATTTAAATATTTCGACGTTATTTCTATCTTAATAAGTGCTCTTTTTTTATTAATTTGTATAAAAATCATGACTAAGTGTGCCAAAATTAATTGTAAAAACTCTTCAGTGAAAGAGCGTAAGAAAATATCTAATTTAAGTTATCATAAGTAAGTATAAGGAGTGTACTTAGAAATTTTTTTAGAATGCTTAACTTTTTTTTATTATAGGTTTCCAAAAGACCCACAATATCTCAAAATTTGGTCTAAATTTGTGGGAAAAGACCAATTTGAACCTAAACCGAATATCATGTTGTACTCTATTCACTTCAAGAAATAATTTTTTGATGAGAGTGAGTTTAGGGTCAGATTGAAGAAGAATGCTGTTCCGACAATAAATGAATGTTTAGTTAGTATACACTTTATTTACCATAAAACTTAAATAACTAACTTAATAAAGAACATTGACTTGACTAACTTTATGATAAAGACAAATAACTATATTAAAACTTGGATAACTATAATAAAACTTAAATAACTAACTTTATAATTAAACTTAAAAACCAACTTATAATTAAACTTAAAAACCAACTTATAATTATACTTAAATGACTAACTTTTTAAGTAACACATAATTTAGAATAAAATTTCAAGTATTTAAAAGCAGTTTTTTATTAAATCCTAATTTTTCCATTATTATACCGTTTTGATAATGAATATACTGTATAATAATAAATACTGGTGATGTATTTTTATTATTTAATTAGATTTGTGGCCATCACTCACTGCTATGTACCTCCTCATCCTCATGATATAAAATAATATGCCCGCTCATGTACCACATTACAATTATTATTAATATTAAATGAACAAACATTAAATTGATGTTCCTTAATTTAAAAACCTGCCGACTTTGTTCACAATACACAATAAATATAATTTAAAACATATTACGAAGTTAATGATATTTAATAATTAGTAGTTTTGGAACTTAAACTAGTAGTTTTTGTATCATGGATCTATATTTAAGGCTTTATAACATAACAAATCTTGTTCCAGACTAACCCATCCATACCTACACCTCCTCCTCCAAAAATCAGGATCCTATCAAATATTCTTATTAAACCAGCAAATCAAACCAGTCAGATCGAATTATCTGTACCCTCTACTTCTTTTCTAAATATTCCATATGAAGAACCGCTGACGCCAAAGAAACAATGATAAGGTCAATAAATATTTTTTTAAATAATAAAAAAAAATTTGTAGTGACTTATTAAGAATGGGACACAGAAAAACTGAAGAGTTACCTATAATTTTACCAAATTTGGCAAAAGTTTTTGGTGTGATAAGATACGTTACACTTATTTGAACTATAATTATATATTTTTTTATGTTTTTTAAGTAAATCATATAGGTACTTTTGTTGGAAACTTATAAGAAACTTCAAAATTAAAATGAAGAATATTCGCATTCTAAGTATAGTCTTATTTTTAATCAGACTATTCAGTTGTTCTGTATCCCTTTCTCAATGAGACACCTTGTATATAAACTTCCCACTTGAACAATTTTATATTTTTCAAGTATGTATAATACAGGTGTATCAGAAATTAAAGCAAAAAGACAACTTATAACAAATGTTTAAATTTAGTAATGTCAAGTCATCCTTGTACCCTAAAAAAGTACCAATGAAGAAATTATTCCTCCAATGCAACCAAACAGTTATTTTTAGGATAAGATTTTGTGTCAAATGTTATCCACAGCCATATGGTTTCTTTTTAAATGGCATGACATTCAAAATTTTGGTCAAAACAATTTTCATCATGCACTTTTCTTGGAAATTCACAATGCTTTATTAAGATTAAAAACACCAGTTTCTAGAAACTTTTTCACTATAACACTAACATTACTGATCAGAAAAAGTGGTTAAAGTTTTCTTTTTGTAATCACAAATCGCAACTGAATGCCTATTTTTAAAATAAATTATCTCTATAATTCCATTTGTATAGTTGTATGCAGTGCATCTGTGAGATTGTTGTTTATTATACATATGTACCAATTATAGAACTCTTTAGTAAGTACTTGCTTGCAATTTTAGTAATATAAGTACCTACCCTATATAATTAATTATTTCAAACATAAATAAAACCAACAACTATTATCTGAGTCTTTTTAGTTCCGATTGGTTTTGACAGAGTAGTTTTGATCATGGTTTTCTTCCATCTACTTTTAACTATAAAGTCATACCTAGCTGAACTTTTGGTCTTTTTAAACTTTTGACTGTAGCGGGTCATATTTTTAATGTATGTCATCTACAGCAGAAAGACCTACATGTTTTACATTTAAAAGTAATTAATTGTCCTTTCTACAAACT